TATTCCTTTGCTTGGTGGCTGTGTTGGTGAGCAGATTATCTGTGCTGACCTTAGATTGCCTGGAACCCTCAATATGTTCTGCACTACAATTCCTATCGACCCCTGCTGCCATGACCGTTGGTCCAGGATTACAGGGGTTTTTTGTACAAAACATTTGGAGGGCAGATTATTCATTTGGCCAGCAACTGAGTTGGAGGCTTTAAGATGTTCTTGCCATGTGTAGTGCTTATAAACATATCAGGTGAAGACACCTGATACGTTTATAAGCATATAAGATACCATATCAGGTGAAAGTTCTGTTAACGCCTCTGAAGGTCTCTGAACACCTTGATACAGTGGTGCCTCGCATAGCGACATTAATCCGTGCAGCAAAAATCACTGCTAAGCGATTTTGTCACTATGCAATTTTAAAAAGCCCATAGAAACACATTAAAACCTGTTTAATGCGTTTCTATGGGCTTAAAACTCATCTTAAAGCGAAGATCCTCCATACGGCGGCCATTTTCGCTGCCTCTTATGCGAGGAATCTGTCCCTAAACACAGCGGGCGGCCAATTTTTTTACCGGCGGCCATTTTGGAACTGCCAATCAGCTGTTAAAAAATCATCGCTTTGCTATGATCGGCAAGTGAAACAGGGAACCGCTCATCGCAAAGCGAAAAAACTGCATAAGAAACATTGCAATGCGATCGCTTTTGCGATCGCAAAAAGTTCATTGCTATGCAGTTTCATCACTAAACGGGGCGCCTGTTAAGCAAGGCACCACTGTAAATGCTTGTTGCACTTTGCCTGTTTGCAGGATGGCATAGCAAAACAAGTTATCTTAATTCCACCTGCAGATAATTTAAGAGGAACTGTTTTTCTTGGCTTTGCTTTACAAGTTGTTTTCTTCTGTTGTATTCAGGCATATAGCATAACATTCAATACACTTTTCAATACTTTAGCAGGAGGTAGTATATTTTTGTGACATAATGTGTTCTTTAACAGTACTCTGTTAAGGAGCCAAGGAAAAAGAAGGATTGTGATGTGTTCCGATTTGCTTGTGCAGTACTGATTTCTCAAAATCGTGAATGTTATTTTTAGTAGTGGTGGTGTTCGCCAACTGCACATGAAGGGACCTAAATGAAAGACTTATGTTTTCCTTTCTTTACTGGAGAATCAAGACAGCTGCTTTGGTCTGGTTTGGAAAGGACGTTAAACCATAATGAAGAATTTATAAACTATTGCTTGCTGACTTATCTGAACCCACTGAAAAGTCTTAATTGTGGTAAGCAGGAACAAACTAGATTCAAGCCATAGTTTCTGAAGTTGGCTTGTTTCATGAACAACTGGTGTTCAGTTTGGATAATCCAAAAGAGGATCCAAAAGATAATATAAAAGGGGATCAGAAACTCCTTACAACAGGGGTGGAAAAGGGGCCGGTTTTCTGTCAGTGGGCTTCATGGACTATCTAGAATATAGACAAGAAGTTTGGGTTTTGACATACTGGTGTTTTTCAGTTATTCGTTCTGTAGGAGGCCCCTGCATCTCCCATGTTTCAAATTTTTGGAGGATACCTTATTTCACCTGTTTGAAAGGTGAATGGCTGTACCTTGAATGGCTTCAAGGAGCAGGGATTCATCTTTTCTGGGACAGAGAGTTTGATGGCACCAGGCTAATTAATTTTTTAAAAGCTTTTACTACCTTTCTGGACTGTTAACTATTGCCAGGGTGATATTTATTCTGGGTACTCTGATTTCTAGAGGCAATGAGAATTTGACTTCTGAAATTTGTTCTTCATAAAAAGTCTTAATAGCCTATATATATATAGGCTATATATATATATCTGGTTATGACTTAACTTTTGGCTTGCGCTATTTCGCACTGTATCTGGCCCGGTTTTTCTTAGAGACAGTCAGTCATATGTTATGAAGTATTAAAATTACAAAGCATATCTGCAAAAAGATGAGCTAGTGCACTTTTTAGTATACATTAGAAGTCTCCAGCTTATTTTCATCTTTTGTGAAGCCTGATATATGGTGGTGACATCCTTGCATCCTCCTGCCAGAACATGATTGGCTTGACTGTTCTCTGTTTCTCCATCTGTGTTGGAAGGGCAGTGCATGTTGCAGAGCCGAAGAAATATTCCAGTGGATTTTTCTTTCACCCCAAAGAGTAGGCCTTGATGCTGTCACAGTTTCTTTGGATTATAGCATTTCACAAACAGTGTGCCTCGCTAGACAGTTATCCCACATGAGTTTTTTCACTAGACATTGACTTTTTGTGATCGCTATAGCGATTCGCAAAACAGTGATTCCAATGGGGGAATTTCGCTGGACAATGTTTGGTCCCTGGTTCGCAAACTGATTTTCACTAGACGACGATTTTGACAGCTTCCTCCACGCTCGCAAAACAGGTGTTTTCGGGACCTAAGCTTTGCAAGACAGCGATTTAAACAGTTGATCGGCGGTTCGCACAGCAGCTTTCCTATGGCCGATCTTCGCTAGACAATGATGATTCTTCCCCATTTGAACGCATTAAACAGGGTTCAATGCATTCCAATGGGGAAATGCTTTTCGCTAGACAATGATTTCGCTATACAGCGATTTCAGTGGAACGGATTATCATTGTCTAGCGAGGCACCACTGCATGTGTGTGTATATGGAAGGGGAGGTGCTTTCAAGAAATGCAATGTTCTGTTGATTGTATGAAACATGTCTTGTATGAGAAGAACAAAACTAAGGAGAGGCACGCAGGCCCATGGAATCTGTGAGGAATTCACAATTGAGCAATTACTAAGGCCAGCCAACGAGCCACAAAAGTGTGCAAGCATTGGAGAAGGCAGACTACATTTTAGTCTCCAGTGCTTGCAAAGGGGAAGAAACATATGAAGTTCAAAACTGGGCCAGATGTTGTGGTTGTGACATCTGCTGCTAGATGAAGTCCCACACTGAAGTTTGCAGAGGAATCACTGCTCCATGTGGAGGTATCTGATCACACTCAGCAGCATGTGTTTTCTTTAAAGAACCAATATCTGACCTCTGCTTCTGAAAATACCAAGGAGGTGGCTGAAAGTCGATTTTTCCTGCTGAGGAACAAATGATGATTAGGAGGCATGCTCACTGACATTTCTCAGTAAAACACGAGTTAGAATCCATTCATATTAATAAGTGCAAGTCTTGGCCAGTGTAGTAACTGCTTTTTTTGTGAATGACCAAAAATTCCAAGCAGATTACTTTTTTCCCAGGGTTTTGTGGCTGGTGATAGTGGATAGATTGTGTGAATTAATGTGTCAGTAACTTCTAAGCAGGACTTTTGGGTAATTAATCTAAGTCATAGTAAATCCTTTCACCATGGGGAGATGAAGAAGCTGCTGTTTTGATACTGAACTGTATTCAAAAATGGAATTGGCTGTATCTTAAAATAATGCAATGTTCTGGATGTGGCTTAGTTGAATCCTTTTAAAACAAATGTTTTTCTGTCATATTTTATATGAATGAATATATATTTGTTTCTTACAGTCACTTCTCATTTTTGCTAGTTTGGATGCTGAGTGCTATCTGCACACATAGATCTGTAACATAAAGTGGCAGTTTGTGTTTGCTTGTTTCTACTTTATATTTATGATCAGTATAAAGAAGCGTAGTCTGGCTGGATAGCTTAGTGAGTTAGGTATCTTGCTACAGAGGCTGAGGGTTCAGTTCCCTACTCTGCACCCCAAGAAAAGCCAACCTGGGTGGCCTTGGGCAAGCTGCACAGTCCCAGGGCATCCTCGAAGGAAAGGAATGGTAAGCTACTTTTGAGTACATTCTACCTGGGTAACCCTGAAAATGTTTGCAGTAAGTCAGAATTGACTGGACAGCGCATAATTACTGTATAAGTCACATAGCTATGTGTATAGGTCACATAGCTTCTGCACAGTAGGACAAAATATTTTGTGCACTCACCAAACTGAGAGTCAACTGTGAGCTAGAGGATCATATGCTTGCTTATGGAGTACTATTTATATTTTTCTCACTGTAGCAGAAATATATTTTAATTATATTCTGTTGCCATCATGTACCTCCTTACTTCTGATGGCTGGGAAAACGATTGAGTTAATATGAGATAGCTCTTTCAGATTATCAGAAAAAACATGTGATGAGATAGTCTTCCATGTGATGTTTCCTCAGCAGATCATGAAACAAGAATACTTTTCTGAAGCTGTCTGCAAATCAAAATCTTTCTCTTGTGTGCACTCAAAGATTTTGATAAGAGATTGCTTTCAAATATATAACCTCATTTTGGATTTATTTTTATGTTTATAAGTCTTATAAATTTTGTAAATGACATAGATGTGATTTTACTTCTTACAGTTAGGAGATTTGCTGTTAAGCGATGACACTGTATTCCCCAACTTAGACATAAGAGTGTAACAACTTTGATCATATATCCAAAAATGTATTATATCTGGGAGACCTTTAAGATAACCATAGGAGATGGGCACATACCTTTTGTGATTATTGAGTCTATCTCTGTTCACCTCATGCTCGGTATGTTCTCTGGCTTTCTTTCACTTCCCTGACCATTCAGCATTTCTACTTTACTAAATGCCATTTGCGTTACGTTGGCCATTGATTGGTCATGTATACAGCCAGTTGATGCTTCCTTTCTTCTTTGAAAGTCAGAGAACTGATGAGTTTTTAAGAGTTGGAGAGAAAACAACTGAGCCTTCCATGTGCCTGATTAGTGGAATGGCGAGAGTATCCTTCCTTCTTTCAGGGCCCTCTAATTACTTGCTAAAAAAGCATGCACCACTCTTGATTGCTTGTAGGAAACAGTAGCATTGCAGCAGATAGACAACTTAGAAAGATACTTCTTATTTCAAATTATAGGGTTAACCTTGTGTAGCTGTAGAGCTGGTGTGAATAGCCTTTTAGTTTCCAGCTTAATTCTGTGCTGACCTCTTGATTATTAATCTGCTCATTGAATTTTCAGGTAGAATCATAGATTTAACGCTGCTGCGTCTTATGCTTTTTGTAGGTTGTGCGTTTGTGTCAGAATCCTAAGTTGGCACTGAAAAACAGCCCACCGTACATTCTGGACCTGCTTCCTGACACTTATCAGCATCTGCGAACCATCCTGTCCCGCTATGAGGGAAAGATGGAGATCCTGGGAGAGAACGAATACTTTAGGGTCTTCATGGAAAATCTGATGAAAAAGACAAAACAAACCATCAGCCTCTTTAAAGAAGGAAAAGAGAGGATGTATGAGGAGAATTCCCAGCCTAGGTAATGCAATTCTGTGTTGCTTTTTGCCTGGAATAATTAAAATGTTAATGGCAAATGAGAGGGCAATACTGCAAAAGTCCTTTGTATTAGTAGATCCTTTGTTTTGCACACTCCTGGTTATGTTCTGTACACAATGTTTCTCTGTCATGACTGTTGGGTTGGCAGTTGCATTTACTGTTTTTCACCAAAATGTCTGTGTCAGTATTATAATTTCACATTATGAGTTGGAGACAAAAGCAGGAAGAAATTTGGAGGATGTTTAACACTTTGGCAGATGTGTGAGTTAGGTTCGCAGAAATACACTGAGCTCACAAACTAGTTAATACTGTAATATAGTATTTGTACTATAGCAGTAATATTTAACCTATGCTGGCTTGAGTTCTATATGTATTTTGCATCATAACTGTATGTATAATCTTAGTAATTTTGTGTGCAACATATCAAATAGTTTTGCCACATTGCAGACCACAGGAATTGATTTTGTTTGATGTACTTGAATTCTCTGTTCAGAGCAAAGCTCTCCCTAGGTGACTTGCAAAAGATAATTAAAACTGAGGAAGAGGTTTTTTTAAAAATTACTGAGAAAATGGTCAGGTTACAAAATCTAAAAACAGCAGTAGTCTAATACTTAACAGTTTTAAGCAAAGGCAGATTGAAATAAATAATGTTTAAAGGTTTATTTAAATGCCAACAAAGAAGAAGCTATGTCTATTTCTTTTGAAAAAGAGTTCCAAGAACATGGGTGCACTGCTGAACCTCTCCCTTTTTCTTTCACCCTGTAAACGCCATATGAAAGGCTCTGCCAAGTGCAGAACATTTTAAAACCTTGTGTGCTGTCAGGTTGCTTTTAAGTTCCGGCAACCATGACAGGGTTTTTGGGGTATGTGAGATGTTCAAGTGGCTTGCCTTTGCCCTCCAGAAAGTTACTGTGAGCAAGGAAGGATTTGAATTCAGTTTCTTGTACTCTTGTCTGATAGGACACACAGGTTCTCAATGAGCTGGTCCCAAAAGAGAATGAGGATGAAAGTGAATAGTTGGAGGTAACAGCAAACAGTAGAGTGATACGCAAGATCTGCCTGTAGTGCCAGATTGTGGCTAGAAAGTATGTGGGAAGAAGACTGTGTTTGTGTTGTGTGCAAAGCAATTTGGCAGGCCAAATTGTTTTCCAAAAACTGCCTCTAAACAGAGCAGCCAGTTCTGCTTCCAAAAAGGAGACTGGAGGCAAATTTAACAATGTTAACATTGCATCCCTCTCTTTTTTTGTAGGGTGCTAGGTAAGATTCTGGATTCTAAAAAATAAAATTGATTGATTGATTAATTGATTGGATTTCCATCCCACCCATCTAGACCAAAGGTCTACTCTGGGCGGTTAGCAATTTCCTCAGTTTGTGTTTCCATCATTATCTATTCAGAAGGCATACCCTGTTGGTTTTTAAACCATGTAGGTTCTGCTTTCCAGTACTGTATTCTGTAAATTCAAGAGGTAAGGTTCCTTTCTTAGTGCATTGCATTTTTGTAACTTCATGTGATAAAACCAATGTGAAGAAATTCAGTGCAAGTGGCAGTTGGCTTATACAGTGGGGTCTTGACTTGAGAACTTAATCCGTATTGGAAGGCAGTTCTCAAGTCAAAAAGTCTGTAAGTCAAGTCTCCATTGACCTACAGTGCATTGAAAACCGATTAATCCCGTAACAGGCCATTTTTGTTCCATTTTGGGTTTTTTCTGGTCTGTAAGTCAATTCTCAGTCTGCAAGTCAAACCTAAATTTTGCGGCCAGAGAAGTCTGTAACTCAAAAAGTCTGTAAGTCAAGCCGTCTGTAAGTCAAGGGTCCACTGTACTGAGGTGGTTTGTTGTTGTTTTTGGTACCTTTCCTGTGTAAATGTCCCCCCCCCCATGCACCACGCCCCTGTCTTGCTTAGAGGCTTTGGGGGGGTGTTATCTGAAGTTGCTCTCATCTATGCAGCTGTTTAAAGTCTTCCTAACATATTATGCTTTGATCTGTCTTGTAGGCATGTGGTACTGAAGAGTAGATTTTGGCTTTAGTAAACTATCTGCCGTCTTGAGCAGTGTCGGTGAAGAGCACAGAATAGGTGCAGTGGTGGTTGAAGCAGGGAAGTTTTTTGCAGTAAATGTATAAATATTTAAAAATAATTTTAAAAGTATTATATTAAAATGGTAACTAAGATAAACATTAAAACATATTTAAAACAACACAGCACAACAGTCCATTTAAAACCCCTCTCAGACCACCAGTCAAGCTTGCCTGAAGAGAGAGGTCTTTGCCTGCCTGTGGAAGGAGAACAAAAATGGGGCCAGCCTTGCTTCCTGTGGGAGGGAGTTCCAGAGTCTGGGAGCAGTGTCAGAGAAGGCCTTCTTCCATGTCCCCACCAAGGGCACCTGTGAGGGTTGTGGGACTGAGAGAAAGGCCTTGTTAATGTTTGTGGCATTAATTTAATATTGTTAAGCATTTGCAACCTGCAAGCAAGGTGTTTTCCTACAGCCTCGGTGTTCCCAGTTTCTTGCTAGGTCAAGGACTAAGAGGCCGAAGTGAAGAAAGAAGCCATCTAACAGGTACAGCGTCAGTGATCAAAATTGATCACACAGTGTATCAAGCAGCTAATTTCACCCATAAATTAATTCCACACACACCCAGCTGATTTCCAAAGGACATTTGCATCCACTAACCTCTGCAGTAACAATCAGTCTTGTGAGATTTCTTGAATATTACTTATCTGGAAACATAGACTATATATTTTCATAAATCTGCTGTCCCTATAGAGAGATTGAGGAGCAAAAATCCAGCCGTTCAAGCTGTAGTCTATCTGTGACAAAGGTGAAAGTGCTTGTTAAGTGATTTAACGGCTGTAAGGATGTTCTGTCCCAGGACTCCTAAATCAAGCCCTTCCCCTGGCCTGTTATGGAAATAGGGTGGCCTGGCCTATGAAGAGCAGTTACCTGGCGCTCTAAATTTAAATGGCAACCAAAGTGTTGAGCTTGGAACATTTGTAGTCTCTCCTTGCAGCAGGGCTTGTGGGGCTGCTGTCTCAGCAAGATTTCATACTCATCATTACCCTGAGGGCACAGAGGAACAAATCCATACAGGAAAAGCTGCAGATATTAAGTATCTTTCTGTGTCTGAAATGTGCATAGCCTCTGAAATGCTGACAGGCTCGCTGAGGAAGGAAACTGCTATTGCAGAAGGCTTTATTATCTTAAATGCTGGGTTTGAAGTCAAAATAGCTATAATTTTTAGTCTACTGTAAAGCATTCAAGCCTGCAAAGTGTAGAAGCAGGCTCAGTATTGATAATTTTGTCTCATTTTTGAAGTAGGGAGTTGCTTAAGAAAATACGAGAAGGTATTGTAAAGGCAGCCGATCAAAGCTTGGCGTGAAAGAGTCTCCTGTCGCTTTCTTCAAATGAAACTTGCACTTCAGAATGTCGAAAACTTGTGGAGCCTACTTCTGCATTTCAATTAGAGTATCTTAGAGAAAATTCAAAAGCTGCCCGTGAAAAAACATCCTTGCATGCCAGGTTGCTCCATATGAACGTGAACAGCTTGCTGCCTAAATGGAGCCATTGCTTCACAGAAAATGCACTTCAGTTGTGATCTGTAGTGCTCAAATTAAGGTGGGGATGAGTAAATTCTTAAGGCGCCTGCGGAAAATCCTGGGAGTCCTAGCTTTAATTTTAATCTTCTCCTTCCTCATGACTGCAGAAAGGAGAGAAAACATGACAAGAAAATTAAAACTTAGGGAAGTAAAATGAAGGTCAGAATGGCCCAGCATTCTTTAAAGTGATGTCAGAATTCTGAGGGCAACACCATTAAAAATCAAACTAGCTATGACATAATTGATTTTTTTAAGTGTTGTTGGTAGTGCTGATTATGGCTTGCTATATGGAGATCATTGTAAACAAACAATTGTTTCTGTTATTTCCTCAGAAACTATACATTAATTTGATCAGAGTGTATGTAGATAAGAGTAAACTGATTCTAGTTGCTGATTCCCATCCAGAAACAATTTTTTATGCACACACTAGAGGTTAAAAAATAGTGCAAGTTCTTAAAAACATATGTTCCTCAGTCTCTCAATTTTATTTTGAAATGTGGTGGTTTAAATGTTGCTGTCAAACTTCTTTGATTCTTACGGCTGTAGTTTCCCCCAGTTGAGATCTGTGTTAAGTTTGAAAACAAAATAGTCGTGGAGTCACCTTCTAGACTTTTTCAAAATGTTAGAAGGCGGTTTTGTTCAGGTTCCTCTTTTATTTTTAATAATTGGTTTGCTACATCTAATTATTATTTTCGCTTCCTTTCTCATGTATGTGCCATCATAATCTGTCCACAAAATCACTGTCAACGCTAGCCTACTGCAGACTGGCATTCGATGGCCGTACAGTTGGATGGCTCTAAAATGCGTCTAGGTAGTTCTCTAAATAAGTTAGTAACTATGGATGTTTCATGTTATATCTTGGTTGCTCTGTATTTCTCGGGAAGGTAACTTATGTGGCTGTCAGTATGAGCAAAGTGGAATTTCATTCACTTCCTGTGCTGCAAGTTTAGTCGAATGTAGTTCCGTTGTATATCTATTTTTAAAAACTGATTACTCTGTAATGCAGGCTCTGAAGCTGGACGAGGCTTATAAATGTTGACATAGAATGTTTATGCATGACTATTCAGCACTTACTTCGAAGGGTAAGAGTTGAACTGATATCAGCAGGATAGGTCTTGTACACATGCAGTATCCTTCTGTTACAGCAGTGCTGTGCAGCCATTTCTTTGTCTCGGTCTCTACATATTAAATCAGAACTGAAAAACGTACAACCTGCTTCCAACATTTGGGGCTATTTGTGAGGGGCTAAGATACCCTTGTAGGGGACTAATTCTCCACCCTGATCACTAATTTTGAAACAAGCTTTAGTGACTTCTGACCAAATCTTGTGGCAAAGACACAGTTACAGTGAATTCAGGTTTGCTACCTAACTAGAAGCTGCAATTAATGCT